CCGGGGTGATACTGGGTTGGGGTTGACTAAGGATCCCGAGAGGTTGTATTCGGGACTCAGACGAGTCTTTTCTATTATGCTAATTATGCAACATGATCATCTCTAGTATATTTGCCTAACCTTCTGGACCAGAAGACCTCTAGGAAGAGTTCTAGTCGTCAGTATATCCAACGATGCTGAGGATTTCATTTAGATGTGTCGTCCGTTGATAATAACAGTGCTCACTACCGAGCCGATTGGCGTCACCACCATCAGACATCTCCCGACCTAGGGGAAAATACGCTTGGTCGCCGTACATTGATGTGTCTACACGCGCAAGATCTGGCGCTTAATGCTACTCCCCGTGAGTGTTGCGATCGATCTGCTATAGCGCACGCAATATGATATCGATTAACCGAAAACACAATAGGTTGCACGCGTGCTGCACGCGGGACATGTACGGAGGGTGTGCACGCGACCCTTCGGAGATATGCACGAGTCCGCGTTAACGATCTCTGAGCGTGTGGACCCCGGCAAGATACTTACCAGTGGCAAGGCTACTTTACCAAAATTCTGCTAATGACAGTGTCAGTACGACACGAATTGTGTTACATGATCCTATTCAATTTATGTTCAATGTAGTATGTTTCCCCCATTTCTTGGACTAGAAGACTATTGGTAGAGTTCTCAGTTGTGAGCAAATCCAATAACGCAGACGATCGCACATTGATGTGTCGTCCGGTGATAATAATAGAGATGGCCCGGCTGGAATCCAGCCGCTGGAGGACATGCGCCCTCGGCCAGCTTTCCGCGGCGATCATAGATTCACACTCATCAAAGGCGGAACCAAGTCAGGCTACCGAGTCCTGGTACTCCCGGGAGGCTCTACCGGGGTTCGGAGATCATTCAGAGCCTTTTTGAAGCTCAACTCCCAGAGGACTCATAGGATGATCTTATTAGGATCGTTGTTGGATTCATATAATTGTATGAGATTCGTGCATTTTGCAGTTGCACGCATACACATACGTTTAGCTAAGTTTGAGCAAAAGGCTCTTGTGAGATCTAACTGGCCGTTAACTACAGAAGTTGAGTTGCCCAGTCACACATCCATAGTTGTCTTAACATCTACCTCAGCGACAATAATCTAACATAATGGTACCCGATGCAGGATATAAACTGGCGCAACTAAGGTTCGAGGACGCTGACATCGAGGGGATTGCTGAAGTTGACATATCTTCTGAGTTTCAACGACTTCATCTAGAGTGTGCTGACCATTCATCATTCAACAGATGTGTTTCGAGTGTACGTAATAAAGTCCAACGCTGGGCTGCTATGACTGATGGTGATGTCGTATTTGTTGCTACCAAAGCTCTGTCTGTTATGAAGAAGGCTGCGGTTGCCGAGGGTCTCGAAGATGATTGGGTAGCACCCTTGAGCCTGTATGTCGCAAAACAGGTTTCATCATTGAAACAGTTTGATACACCCTGGCACAAGGACCGCAACATCGATCTCAAGAATGCTCTGCAACTCTTCCTCAAAAGTAAAGATGAAGAAGCAGCCTCCGTGGGGGTGCGTGCTCAGCTGAATCCTCCCCCTGTCCAACTACCTTATACAGGGGGAAAAGACCCTTCATTCCACTTATGGTCCAAACTCCCTCTACCGTTCGGTGAAGAATGGAAGGCTCCTACGGTCAAGGTTCCGTATCTAGCGTTTAGAGCTCGCATGAAGAAATCTGCAGATGTGTATGGTCTGCCGCCTAGGTCAGCACAATACTTCTTGATCAGAAATCTAGGAGGAGCCCTACGTGAAGAGGTAGAAGAATTGGTAGTTCCTGGTGATTCAGCTGCTAGCTGCTTGGAGTCGATATGGAAGTACCTTGATAATAAGTATGCTGATACATTCTCAATGAGTGAGTCTTTAGCTCGTTGGGAGAACTTGAAGCAGCATAATGGCGAGAGCATTGTTGACTTTTGTGCCCGCCTTGATGTTGAAGCGAATCTGTTGAAGTCTCTCGGCCATAGTCAGTTGTCTGACACTGATCGAGCTGTTCGATTGCGTTCCGGTATGAACACTCGTCTCTATCAACACATGAGACGATATATTGGGCCTGACTTCAAGAAAATGGATTATGCCAAACTCAGGTCTTATGCGGAACATCACGAAGAAGATCTCAAGCAAAAAGGTTCCGTCGATGTAGACGGGATCGTGAAGAAGGGAGGTATGCGGAGCCTGTCGAGCTCGGAAGCACAAAATGATAAACCGTTGAAGTGCTCTCGATGCTTGAAGGCTGGTCACTTGATGAAAAACTGCCGATCCAGAATCCCAGGTGATCTATCTAACAGGTGTCGTGTCTGTGGCATTCGAAGCCATGTTTCTGCCAACTGTCCTCAGACTAACCCTAGGTGCTCTTCTTGTGGCAAGAACGGTCACTTAATCTACGTCTGTCCGAACCCTATTGCCTCTGTCCCCAGCAAGCTCAACCCCAAAGCTACTACTTCGGCAGTTCATGTGCAGAACCTAGAGTATTCTAGTCCGCAGGAGTACACTCTGAAGATCACCCAAGATTCTGCTAATGACATCAGTGCTGTTGATGTGTCAAATGTTGAGAACGGTGCTACTGGTTCTTGGTCTCTGAAGCTGGCCACGAAACCGAGCATTTGCCCCATTATTATTGATGATACCATGTTATACGCCTTAGTTGACAGTGGTTCTTCAACTGCACTTATTAAGTCTTCTCTAGTGTCTCAATTTGAAAAGCAGGGACCTCGGGTATGTGTTTATTCAATTCCTGAAGTCTCTGCAGTATATGCCGATGGCACTAAGCGAACTATTAATACAGAAGTATTACTTCATTGTTGTATCGGCGGGAAACTATTCTTACTACCATTTCTAGTGGTTGACCAACTTAGCTATGATGTTATATTAGGCAGATCAGTTTTGGGGGTTATTGGTACTCAGATGGAGTATCATTTTGGTACTGCTGCCGATGTTCGTGATTTACAAACTAAACTTCAGGATTCTTTTGATGCCAATGTCCAGCGTGATGAAGCTGGGCACGTTAATTCTGATGATATTCGAGTATCTGATTCACCAGTAAGCAAGCCTGGTGAGAATCAGTCTCAATCACTTACCGCCGTAAATGATTTGGCGAATATTCAGATCGTTGGTTCTGATGTGGAATGCAACGGTCTAAGCTTAGAGTATAGCATCCTGAATTCAATTGCTGATGACGACTTAGCATTGATAGATAATTCTGAGTATGATGATGACTCGGATTCTTTGCCTTTAATCCCCCCAAAATCTGACATGAAGCCTAGTGTTTCTGTATTCAGGACTATTGATGAAGCCTTGGGCGATCTATCTCGTTCTGGCTGGCTACCGGTACCTCATGCTTCTGATTACCGATATGCTTTGAAGAAGATCGAAGACCTAGAAGATCCCAAGAAGGATACCCCCAACCAAAAGTATCGGTTCGTATTCGACTGGTCATATGATGATTCTGCTGAAAGCTCACGTGAACCATGGTCCCCTAACTTCCTTCTCGCTAAATTGACTGCAGAGCAGCGAGAGCTATGGTTCAAAGAGCTTGATATGTATACTTGTCGTGAATGGTGGCAACCATATGAGGGGGCCAAACCATCTGATTCATTAACTGCGTTTCCTATTATTGCTACTAGTAGTACTAAGACTACTCAAGTGAGACCCGTACTTGATGCCAGAATCACTAATTCTCGTAGTCCGCGTGCTAGTAATAGGAAACGTGATACTTGTAATGTCATTAATAATCTTCGTAGCTCTCTGAAGCCGGGTTTCTGTGCCAAGCAATATGATTTGGCTAAAGCATTCTATAGACTGGCCATCTCTAGACCAGTTGTGATAGATTTCGGCAAGAACCCAGCTACAGGAGTTTCTGTTATGATGAAATGTTCTAGATTGGCCTTTGGCCTCTCTATAGGTCCGACTGCCCTGGAAAGCAGTCTCGACCAATTATTTAATATACTTGAAACATTTCATCCGAATGTTAAATGTGTACGCATAATGGACGATATCGTTGCAGTGGGCTTATCTTACGATCTAGCTACTTTTGAAAAAGATTTATTTTATATTCTTGATTGTTGTGGCTTTGACATCCCACCACATAAAATGAACACGTGGGGTGCAGATTCATGGTCTAGGTGGCTTGGCTGCGACTGGAAGTGGAATGAATCTGACCTATTAGTAAAAGTTCCCGACGTCCCCTTTGTACCGGTATCTACTAAACGTCAAGCGTTCAGTATGGCGGGTAAATATTTACGATTATGTGAATCCATTGCCGAGGCCCAAGCACGAGGCCATGCCGATATTGTTCGTAAATTATCAGGTCAAGAAGCGGAAGCTTGGGACTCAGCGCTATCAAAGTCCACTACTAGCATGGTAAATCGCCATCTACAAGCCGCTGCTGAAGCTTGGAGTTTCATCCCAAGAGAGGTTCCATTATCCTCTCTGACAACCAAACTGCTAATATCTCATGATGCATCTAAAGATGCTTATGCTGCTGTCTGTTATGAATGCTCTAATAATGATGTAATTGTGTTGTCTGCTCGAGCTCACTTATTTCCTAACTCTGCCATTGCTTGGCATGCGAATAGGCGGGAACTCTATTGTATTGCATCATCGTTAATGGCACTGCTACAGTCAATAGATTTTAACCACTTTCCCGCTCTATCGCATGTAACTATCATGAGTGATTCATCAGTGGCCATTAATCGTCTTGACAATAAATCATATCATAGTAAAGGTGTAGAATGGCTTGCTCTAGTTAGATTACGAGAGTGCTGCGTCGATGTCATTGATGCATTGAAATCGAAAAATATAGCTGTTGATATATCTCATTGTCCAGCCTCTCGCAATCAGCAAGCTGATGCGCTTTCTCGACTTCTTAATGATATTCCAGCTGCTAACATAGCTCTCTTACCCAATCCTCTCCAAGTCGAGACTTCAAAAGAAGGGGGAAGAGATGCTGATATTGAAGCTGATGCTGTTGAACTATTTGACTATGATTATCCGATGTCTGTGTTCGACTCTCTCGTCGAGAGTATTCCTTGTTTGGCAAGCTTTCATAAAAAGCTCGTAGCATTCCGAGCTTGGAAGAGCACAGCCATGCTCAGTAGTCGTGAGGTCTCACGTCGCTTTGTCGTGTCTGAGCAAAACAGAGATCCTTTATGTGTTGAAGTTATTAAGCTACTATCTATCCCTGATGATGGTAATAAAGTCGGAGTGAGTCAGCGAGATATCACTCCTGCTGTGAGAGGATTCATGCCGGGATTAATCATCTATGGTGGCATTTTATATAAGAAATGTCCTTCGGATGAAGATAACGGTCTTCGATTGGTCTTGCCATCATCTAAGTTCAGTCCTCTTGGTAAGCAAGTTGTATGGTATTATCATTGCAGCTCCGGTCACGTTAACCTTGAGGATACTATTCGTCGACTTCGTCGACATTTTTGGTGGCCAAGACTGCGGAAGGATACTAGGTCCGTCTACTTAGGATGTCAACATTGCCAGTTGACCAAGGCCTCTTCAGCCCCGAAATCCATTGGGTCTCATATGTGTCCTACTGAGATTTTTAGTACCATAGGAGTAGACCTTTATGGCCCTTTAAATGAATCGAAGGGCGGGTTTAGATGGATTCTAGTCTGTGTAGACCTACTAAGTCGGTATACTGTATTAATACCTTTGGTCACAGTAACTGCAGCCGTGGTATGCTCTGCTATTGAGCGTAATATCATTCTAGTGTTCCGTACGCCGGAATACATCATATCTGACCAAGGAGTGCAGTTTGTTAGATCTATTATACTGGACAGTCTTTGCTGTACTTATAAAATAAGGCATATTAGTTTGCCTTTGCGACATCCTAGTAGTGGGGGTTTCTATGAACGCCAAAATCGTACTCTGGGTGCAGCCCTCCGGTCTCTCCTATCTCAACACAAAAGTCTAGATTGGTATGATGTATTGGCCTTGGGCCAGCTACGTATCAATACTACAGTGCACCCTGACCTAGGTGTTTCTCCCCACGAAATTGTATTTGGTATACCGCACTCATTCCCTCTAACTTCATTCTTGACACCTTCGCAAAGGATGTCGGAGGAGGACATTGAGGACTTTTTGTGCTTCCAAAATCGTCATCGTCGAGACGCTGTCCTACAAGTATGTGAAGACCTTCGCAAAAAACGTGCTCGACAACTTCGTGCCTGGATTGACGAGTGGACTCGAGCAAGGGCGAAATATGACAAATGGGATGCCCAATCCTCAACTACTCCTACTCCTACGACCCCTTTTGATGTTGGCTCAAAAGTTCTGGTCCTGAAGTCTCCGAGCCATAAGCTCGACGGCAGATGGACTCCGGGAGTTATAAAGCGACAAGTTGGTAAAGCTTGTTACGAGATTGTGTTGGAGACTTCCCCATTGAGCCAGATATATCACAAAGATCACGTCAAATTGTATCATGATGCTGATCCTGCTATTGGTCTTATTTCAAAAAGTCCGTCCACTCCTGGACATACTCCTACTCAATCGGCAAAAAGGCATTTGAGCGAAGCTACTGGAGAGCCTCCGCTGCCGAAGAAGTCGAAGATCATCGAACCTCTCGGTTCAAGAGGTTTGCATCCTTTTGACATGCATACACTCACTGGTTGGAGAGTACGCGATGATGAGCCGAGAGTAGGCATTGTTCTTGGTCGAGATATTAATGATAAAGTAGTGGTTCATGAACACCGTATTCGAGATGACTCTGCTATCCCTTTATGGATAGATGACAATGGTATTATCCATGAAGGAGGTGTACCCACTACAAAGCCAGTTATTGTAACTCTAGAGCCGAAGGATCTTGTCAGACTTACTACTATTGATAATCTTACTCTCACTCCCCGGGCCAAGAAGAAACTCTCTGAGATGGGCCTTTCCTTTGGGGAGGGATGATGTTGGATTCATATAATTGTATGAGATTCGTGCATTTTGCAGTTGCACGCATACACATACGTTTAGCTAAGTTTGAGCAAAAGGCTCTTGTGAGATCTAACTGGCCGTTAACTACAGAAGTTGAGTTGCCCAGTCACACATCCATAGTTGTCTTAACATCTACCTCAGCGACAATAATCTAACAATCGTATACCGTTTCAGGAGCAACGTACAGTAAGCAGCATAACAGCAACATCGCACTGGTCGAAACTAGCGAGATGTATGAATTAGGTAAGTGCCGCATACTCAGCGGTCATGTCATGCAATCGACCCATCGAATGGTATTACTTAACCACAAACTAGCTATGAATTCAGCAACATCTAGAAGACTCCTAGAGAGCAGGGAAAATTCTAAGGCGAGGACTCTGAGCTGCCAGCTCAAAGTCTGTGCTCTGCCAGCTCAGAGTCAGCTAGAACTGTGCTCCAGCGGAGCACAGTTCATCTCTTCGTCTCTTCCTCGAACCTCCACTGGTAGGCCTACATCTCGGACAGTACCGTGGCTTCCTGGGATTGGCTAGGTCCGGCAACGGGTATCTAGTTGCCATACACCAAGCTTCAGCGCAGTCAATGTGCCACCACCCAGTAGAGATGCATTTCTTTGATGAGCAATATACGGCGGGTGAGTCAAAATAGCCCCCACAGCACGCTGACAGATCTCTCCTCTTAACGGAGGGTAGTTCAGAGGATGGAGGGATAGAGTGCGGAGGCCATTCGAAACAGTCAAGCCCCCTGACTCTAATGCTGGACTGACTGGCTCGGAGAGCCTGCGCTTGGCCCTGGCGTGCTCCTCCATAGCGGGTAGTTTCATTCAACCTCAAGCCGGGACCGGCCACACCTTTGCTGAGCTTCCTCTGCAGTTTCGCTTCGGCTCTTTGCCAGGCCACTTGGTCATCGACTCCAAAGTGACGTCCCAGAGCTACCACATGGGAGCACTTACTTCTCGCTGCATAAGCTTCGCAAGTGCATCTTGGACCCCCATCCCGAGAAAGCCGACTGACACCAGAAGTAGTAGTAAAAGTAACAAGCGATATCTTGTTCATTATCCTCTTCGCAGTCTGGAAGTCCTCGTACCTCTGCGTTACTCCCAGACATAGCATCTTGTCAGCCACTCCAATCCGTCTGGGATCCGAATTGTGCATTGGCTTGTCGCCTCGGAATACGTACACATGCTCCCCAACACCAAAGTAATGAGATGCCTTTCGACAGATGTCTTTGCAACAAGAGGCTCGATGACAGGGACCATTCACTGATGACGGGAGAGCCCTAGGAAGGGGCAAGAACGATAGAGTGTCTAGAGCTGACACCCTATCTGACTGTTGAATGATCCTCCCGTTGACTCGATGCTTATTATATGCCGAGACGGCCTTCCATTCATCTCCTGCTAGAGCGTAAGCAAACTCCAATAAGGTTCGCATCCTTCGAGAGCGAAGAAGGGTCTTCTTGAGGAATCTGCGGAATACCTCAATGCCGTTACTCGTTCTCCCGCCCACGCCATCATTGTGACAAGCAGCCCACCGGGAGCGGAAGCTACCGGTATCGAACCACTCTCCACTCGCCATAGAGTTGAGAAAATTAACTGCTTTAGCCTCGCCTCTCTCGTTCCATTTACCGAACAGAAGCTCGATGAGAGAAGTGAACTCTGACTGACTTGAGGCTTTAGCTACTGCCCTCAGGTCGCTTTTCAACTCACTCTATAGCCCTGCTCTCATTCCAGCTGGTTTCTTCCTTTTGGCGGCTTGCATGAAATGGAAGAAACAACAGCTCATAGACGCCTGTTCGAAGGTCGCAGACACAGCACCGTGGAGAGCTTTGGAGCCGTCTTGAATAATGCCGGTGATCCGAGGTAGTTCGCGCACACCCACATCCCTGATGAGTTCGTGGAATGATCTCAGGATATCTTCGATGCTGCGTCTATTTTCACTCCTAACCAGCCCCACTAGAATCGGTCTAGCAGCTCCAGCAGCATTCATTGAGGTCATAGTGAAAACCGAGCATTCCGCAGCAATCAAATTAAAGGTAACATCAGCAGCAATCTCGTCACTATTCAGATAATTATGTAGCATCCGTGGGTAATACCCACTGGGTATTAAATTTATCGCGTAGATGCTCGTCCATCCCAGTGGCATCTTCCAAACCAGTTCGCTTTATGGCATCCATAATGTCTAATACCTGTCACGAGCCGAGCTGGAAGTGAACACTGAATAAGGGGCAGTAAGACTCATCTTGGAGGACATGTAAGTGACATTCTATACTACGAAGCACACCTCTTCAATGGCTATATGGTAAACAGCATATTTAAGTTGGACTGCCGATCGGAAGCGAGGACAAGATCGTGGAAAAGCGTCAATTTGGCTACAGTGTATTACGAAATTCAATTCCGAAACATCAGTGACTACAGTCTCGAATTTGGGACCTCTTGTCTCGAAAAATATTGCTCAATCCAATAAGGGGAACTGACTAATAAACCATGTCGATGGGAAACTGTTATCGTGGCCAAGACTTTGGCAAACAAAAAAGACCAATGGTAATATACCACAAGCATGGCTCTCGATTATGGCATAATACCATGGGTAATTTTTGTTCCTAAGTTTTCCTTATTGTTTTGAAATATTTGTCCTTGCAGGTTTGATGTTTCAAAATTCAAGTTTTTAGAGTTTTTGAATTGAAGTTCTGCATTCTGCATATCCAAAAGGGAGTAATGTCTCACATACTACTTTCTACTAGTAATAGTTTCGTGTAGGTTGATGTTTTGTTATAGTCTGATTTGTTATGAGTTTTGACAGTCAGTGACTGCCAGTCACGACTGAACAGTGATATAGACCATTCGAGCCGTAAGCCTTGTCGGAAGTCTTTAATGATTCGATACTTACGTTGAGATCTCCAAGATCTTTGTCGATGTCACGTTGTACTTTTTCTAGGAAGGGCTCAAGTTTTAGTCCATATGGTCGGCGGCGAGTAATTGATGTGACAATATTGCGAGTATTACCTGAGAGAGTCGAAAGTGAGGAAAAGGCAGCTAGTGAGGCTCACTAAGTGAGCGAACTCTGATCTTAGCCAGATCTACCTTTGTGAGTGTTGGGTCTTTACTTATTGCTCCCGCCGCTAGATCGACCAAAGGAGGTGGAACGGTCACAGACCTGAAGCCACCAAGCAAGACTTTGATCCTCACTCCCAGAGTGGTTTTCACCTGCATATGTGACTATCGTACGGATGGTCATGTGCTTTTCAGGCAGCTATAGACGAGTTAGCTGAGCATACGCCGTAGAAGCTGCGAAGCAAATCCCCCGGGGGGCCACTCTCTACCACCAAAATACATGACAGCTGGCAGGCATCCCTCGGCCACAATCTCCATGAGGGCTTAGCATTGTTGCTCGTGACTGGCTCACCGAGTGGAAGGCGCCGAAGACAACGTAGTTCACGCCTCTTGCGGTTCTCGTGAACGCTCTTGACTTGAGCCAGAAATGGCCTGCCTGCCAAGTACTCCCTTATCACTTCCTCAATAGGTCCATTGACTGCATGGAATGCCTCTTTCATCCACTTGCCCCCTGGACCCTCAGGGGCTCTGCGGTGTTCAGTGCTCGTGCGAGTAGCATGTGTACTCATTATAGAAGAGGTGTCACTACTAGACTCAATGTCATCGTTCTCTGTATCAGAACTTTCGAAGCTGCTGCCTTCGGAAATGCTGCTGTCCGATTTATCTTCATTGGACGATGTGGATAGGGCGGATCTGTCCTCGTTGTTCGGTTGCACAGCCGCAGCACCTGAAAAATCCCATGCTGAACTCAGAGAAGGAATTCAATACTGTCAGGCTCCTCATGTGAGTCGAGTTCGTCGATTCTCTGGTCTCTCATATCATCAAGCAGTTGACCATCATCACTCCCACTTGCCGTGTTCCGTGCTTCGAAGGTTTTCATGGCGAGTGACGCTTCTGGGACCTCGTCCCATAACATCCCCTCCCCGCAAAACCTAGGCACGGACTTAAATTAAAAGATACGCTAATCATCATATAGTCTATCATCATATCTGCTTTATCGTCGGCAATGGCTGGCAACGGGCCGGACTGCAACTAATTACAGGAGCAATACGGGCCGAACAAGTCATACAGGCTCAGGAACGTCTCCACCAATGTTGTCGAGCAGAGTCTTCAGTCCTATCCACGTCATCATCGGTTTTGGAAAAACCATCCGGAACGGGCCGAACAACGTCCTTGAAGGAATCGGTACATTGTGCCCAAGCATAGTTTATAGAATACCGAAATTGGCGGCGACGGTTAATGGCAGTCGTAGGCAGACTTACAAGCTCACCAGGCCGAAGTTCAAAGGCTTGAGGGAATGGCGTCAAGGGTGCCCTTGGTAATTCATACTTGAAGGCCGAGACAGAGAATAGCTCCACCGAAGCGTCGTCCCAAATGAACGTCGTACCCCATGAGTCATGGGCCATGACTCTCGTAGTACTTCATTCCTAACCCAGGAAACCCTCAGGAAATCAAGGAACGAGCCGCACTACTGATAGAACGGGCCGAAAACCACTTGGGGGAATGTCTAGCATCGCTGTTCGGAGCGACATTAAACAATTGCCCATTACGGTCATGAAGCTTACGTACCACACCATTGATATCAGTGACCGGGCGAGGCCGAGAGTTACGGCCAAGTCTCATAAACTCGTCTGCCGCGTGGTCGTAGTTACGGGCCGAAAACGGGGTAGGTGGGTCTTGTTGGTTAAAGGTGTCGAAGAAGCACCGTAGGTTGTCTCCACGCCTTTCGGGTTGAACATTGAGGAGTTCCTGAAGTCTGGCTAGTACACCAGGCATTTAGATAACAGCCTACAACCGAGAGGTAAAACATCAGTCTCAAAATAGCAGATTGAATGACAAACTCATGAAAAGCGCCAATAATATACCTCATTCTTGCCAAACATTTTAGCAAAAACGGTCAATTGTGCGAGCGCCATGTACGCACAAACACGAAGATTCGACTTAAAACGGTTATCGAAAACTTCGAAACATGCCTCGACCATGCCATCCGTAGGCAGGTATGGGAGGCTAACACTGAGTACTCACAAATTACAAAGAACGTTCAGTGAAAATCATCCACTACAATATTCCAAGTGCACTAAAGTGGGTGTACGCACACCCAAGAGACAAGGGCCTGATAGCACAGCCCTGCTAGGACAATACGATCCACAACTTGACGTCAATTACAATACCGGTCTTAAATACAATCAAATATGTCAGCGAGCTCAAATACATTTAAGAAGTTACAAATCTTGAATACCATCAAGCAGAACTTCAATACCAAAACTTAGAGGTACCTCAGTAGAGTGAGACAATAAAATCCATCACTTCCCCTCCCCGCAGAATCCTACTGCAGGGTGTGAAGGAGGATTTGGCACTACTAAATACTTAGTGCTACCTGAGGTAGCCTACTTCTCGAAGGTCTCCAAGAAGGGGAGAACTTCTGAGGGGGACGAATCACACGACCAGTACGAGTAGTACGGGGCGGCGGCGAACCTGGGGGAGCAGACTCAGGCAAAATCGCAGGTTCTACAACTTGAGGTGAGCGGTCTTGCTGATCCGTAGTTCCCGAGGACACATGGGGAATATTAGAACCACTTGAAAAAGCTGATATGGCAGAAAGCATTTGACTACGGGCCGAAGAGGACGGTCGCGATCCAGCAGATCGGGCCGAAGCATCCGCAATACAACCATTATCATCAGGGCTGGAACCAGCAGACCGACTAGACTGAAGCACCGGATGAGATCTTCGCGACGAAGATAACCCTTCACTCGGCAATAGACTTGTGTTTTCAGAAGGAAGACTAGGAATCACCGGACCAGAAGCATCTTCAATTAGCATGTCACCATCTTGAGGGCTACGAACTTCTCCAACCTGTGGTAGTGGTTGTAGCACATCAGTATCATCTTGAGCAACCCAATACGCCGAAGGTTGAGGCTGATATAGCCTATCATGAGAAGGAGAACCCATCTCAGCGACATATGACGAAACTTCATCGGAATCTGCAAAATGATCCAAATGGTCTTCTTGCAATACCGGGCCCGTTCTAGGGATTTCCTTGAAAGGATACAAGGGAACCCTTGGAGCTTCATCAACAGGAGGTTCCATTCTCACAATGTTGAGCTGAACCGGTATCATTTCTGGTTGAATTGGATCTGCCAATATATAGTCGGTAGAAATGACCTTTTCCCGTGGATCTGGGAAATGTCGAACTACCACCGTCTTATTATTAGATCCAGCAACAAACTTGAAGATGCACCAGTCCGCCTGCCATTTAGGAAGCAACTTGCGGGCCGGAGCATTGTTGCCATGGAAAATCTTCAGGCGAACCCGTTGACCAACATAATGTCGCCGATGAGAAGGTTGTCTTAAGGCTGCCAGACGGTATGAAGCACCATTAGCAGTAGCCCATTCATCCATAACATCATCAATTTTGGCACGTGCTCGGGCCAAATAGGCTGCATAGCTCTCAGGATCATGCATCAAAGATGAGTATTGATATAGACTTGGCAATAACATTTGAGGAGCTTCTCTTCCAAACATAAGATAGAAGGGGGTAAATCCAGTGGCCGAATGAGGAGTCGAATTATATTGCCATAGGACGCCTCGTAGGTGGCCTTGCCAATCCCCTATGGTCTGAGTAGCCATTCTGAGCAAGTTCAAAATGGTAGAATTGAAACGTTCCACATGACCATTTGAGCTCGGATGATGCGGAGTAGACCGCACCTTAGTGACCCCCAAAATCTTCATAACATCATGAAAGATTTCACTCTCAAAGGCAGGACCTTGATCACTCAATAACCTCATAGGCGGGCCAAATTGTGAACAGAGTTGCAGCAATGGTGCCAAAGCATCAGTAGCTCCTTCTCCTTTTACAACGTAAGCATCGGCCCAACGTGTGAAATGATCCACAATAACCAGCAGTTTGGTAGGGCCTTGGTCTGATGGGCCAACAAACAAGAAGTCCACAGCAATAGTATGCCATGGTGCTCCTACTGGAAAGGGCACTAATGCTGCCGGAGGTTGCTGCCGAGCTTTAATGGTCAAACAGCGGGAACATTGTGCCACATAATCTATGGTATCCACGTGCATACCGGGCCAAAAACAAAGCCTTCGCATACGATCCCACATATGTTGCTTACCGAAGTGACCGCCCATGTCATGAAACTTATACAACAAGGGTCTCCTCATAGAGTCTGGAATAACCGGAAGTGTTTCTCATCTTCCGGGAGATATTTTGCCATACGCACCAGTAAACCGGACTCATCCAAAAATAACACCGACCAAAGCTTCCGATAAGGCCGAACGGCAGGATCCTTCATAGCTGTGCGACCAAAGGATTGCTGATCTCGAAGCCGTTGCTTCACCAGACATATTACAGCGTCTTCATCTTGTTGCTGATTGATATCATCGGTGGACCACTCTTCGCATGCTGTTACCAGTGTCGAAGAAATAACGGGCCGAACTCCAGTAACCAATAGAGTTTGATCAATCAGAAGTTGAGGCTCCGATACCGACATTTGTTCAGCAACACGGCTTGGGGATTCATCCAATGCAAATACAGCCGGAGTGGCCATCATAGCAGGATGGAACACATGAGGGTCATCCCCAGGAGAGCAGACCGGACAACAATAAATATGAAGTCTCACATCGTCTTCCATATCCAACCAATAATAAGACGACCGTAATCGCAATAAGCAGGACCGATACATCTGATGACCCTGATTCTGATGAACTTCATGCAACACACGATCCTTCAAAGAGGAGGGTAAGACAGGGACCAACTTTGGTTGCATTGAAGGGCCAACGTCCAATCCATACATCAATACTCCCTGCTCCATAGAGAATCTTCTGAGCCTAGAAGTATATCCAGAAAGGCGTTGGTCGTGTTCATAACTTGCTGAATCCACAGAAAGTCGTCCGCCAAGCCACATCCCAAACAGAGAGGTGACAACATAGCTGCAGGGTGTGGAGAAGCCTCTCCCTCTTGTACTTGTTCACAACGGGCCGAAGGTGGTCGTGATAGAGCGTCAACGACCACGTTATCCTTACCAGGCCGATATTGGATAGAAAAAGAGTACTGACAGAGGCTCAACATCCAACGCTGTACTTTGGGTGTCGTCGATGTCTCCAAGAACGTTAGAGGTTTGTGGACCACATGTAACCACAAATTGTGGTCCGTGAAGACGATAAACTCCAAGGGGTAACCCAATAGAATATTCCTAAATCTCTCCAAGGAACGGAAGATAGCGAAAGCTTACGTTCGTATACAGGCCATCGACGTTGAGTACTTGTCAAGGCTTGACTGAAAAAGGAGAGGGGGGCTCCGTCTTGTTCCAATACACCTCCGATAGCTGCATCACTAGCATCGGTCACCAATTGGAAGGGCCGAAGGAAATCCGGGTAGTTCAACAACGGCAAACGGGCCAAACCTTCCTTAATGTCAACGAAGGCGGCCTCACATTCTTCTGTCCATGGTAGCAAGGTCGACGACTTGATCTTAGTACTCTCAGTAACCAAATCATATAAGGCTCTAGCTTGATTCGAAAAATGTGGAAGGAACCCCCTATAATAATTTGCTAAACCGAGAAACGATCTTAGCTCCGAGACCAGGGTCGGCACAGGCCAACGAAGGATAGTTTCCACCTTCTTAACGTCAGGAGTCATACCATCCGGGCCGAAAGTATGTCCAAGATAATCGACTGACCGGGCCATTATTGTGCACTTTTCTGCCGCAATAGCTGAACCAGCAGATCTTAGTACCCCAAAAATTTGCCGTAAATGGGACAAATGCTCGTCATAAGAGGAGCTAAAGATCAATAGGTCATCCAAATAGCACTTCACGAAGGGAAGATCTCCGCCCAAGGAATTTATAAGTCGTTGAAACGTTGCTGGGGCCGAAGCTAACCCGAAGGGCATACGAAGCCATTCGTATAACGGGAAGCCTGGGCCCGGGCAAAAAGCCGTCTTCACCTGATCTTCGGGCCGAACCGGTACTTGCCAATAACCACTACGAAGGTCCAAGGTAGTGAAGAACTTAGCATTGCCCAAATGTTCTTGAACATCATCTGGCCGAGGAACCGGATAAGCCTCCGTCTCACATAACCGATTCAAACCTCGATAGTCGATGCACATACGAACCTTGCCGTTCTTTTTCGGGACAAACACGCACGGAAAGCGCCAAGGTGAGGTGCTCCGACGTATGACCCCTAAAGACTCCATTTCCTGAAGCATAGACGACACCTCTTCTCTCCATCGATGGGGTAAGGGCCGAACTCGTTCACACAGAGGAGCCTTAGAACCAGTGTTAATACAATACTCTGCAGAGGAGCAGAACCCGGGCACGAACAGCAAACAAATCCGAAAACTCTTCACATAACTCAGCAACGGGCCGTTGCTCCTTCGACGGTGAGCCACAAAAATCAGGAAGCTGTACCGAAGTATCACGGAAATCAGGAACCGCAAACCTTAATGAATCCGATAGTGGATCGTCTTGGAGCTCATCGGTATCCTCATAACCAGGAGGCGGCCACACTCCAGCAGCCAACAGCTCGGACCTCGGAGGAATTGACGACGAAGATGGAGTTGGGACTGGATGAGATCCGGGCACAGGCCATCCTTTCTCCCGCAGTTCATCATCGGTCAAGGGAACAACATCAACCTTTGTACCAGCACCAGCCAACAAATATTCGGGACAGGACAGGTCATAAGAATCATTGTCCGTCAAAGTTACCACACAAGATGGCGACTGCGATTTACAATACGACTTCGCCTTATCTTCCAAATTAGCCGCTTGAACTGGGTGTTCCACAAACCAAGGGAGAGCCGAAGGTTCCTCCTTAGAGTAAATACCAACAATTCGGATAGGGCGGGCCGAATATTGAATATCCAAATCATAATGAGACGTAAAATCATGCCCCAATATCAGATCATAGGCCAAAGAGTCCACTATCAAAGCATCCACACAGAAGGAAAACTTGGGATCATTACGGTCCGGAGCCATTCCTTCCTTGGCTTTGTCACCACCATAAGCCTCTACGGAAAATTATGACATACCCAGAAAAGTACAAATAGAACGATCAATCGTCATAAGAGAGGGTCCAGTAACGGGCCGAATCTCGACTTCACGAGGAACTACACGTCTTGCCACCATAGTAGAACAACAGCCAGTATCTACCAGGCAACGTAATGGACCAACTCGACGGTGACCAAAGAGAAGATCAGCGTAGAGGAATAAACCATTATCCCTCCCAAAAGGATATAGTACAATTTGCGGCGCTCGCGAGCTGTCAGGCGAGCGCCCTAACAGTTTCCCGACACCCCATTAGACTTCTTGTTGGCAATTGAGGCAACGAACGATGAAAATTGCGGACATGATCGGGCCAAATGATCGCTTGAGCCACACACAAAGCATCCACGATCATGCTTCTTATGGGGGCAAGCCACAGCCCAATGACCATCACCACAACATAAATAACACTTAGGATCACGCTTCCTGCCCTTACCCTTCTGAGGACGGCGACCAGAATTACGACCTTGGCCGTTCCCATTAGTACCCTAAGGGTACTACCCTTGACTTGATCCAAGAGTTTAGTAATAGAACCAACCATGGCATTCTGCGAGGTCATAAACGTGTCAATAAGCTTAGTCACATGGTCTTCACTCGGAATATTCTCATAAGGCATGCCAGTTGCCAATGCACCAGCAGCCTTAGAAGAAGACTTCTCCTTAAAATCTTCAAAGATCTCACATACACCCTGAATGGTCTTAGGCTGACGTCGACGGAGCACAGACTTGGCACCGTCTGGGGCGTTGGCAGTCAATCTATCCATAATCATCTTATACATATGGGTCTGAGACAACTTATGATCCTCGGGTAGGGTCTTATTGTAATTAGTCATATATCGTCGGAGTGTAGTCAAGAAAGAGACCACACGGGAAGACCTATCCCAAGTCAGAGAGTTGAACTTATGCAGAATCTCATCGGGCCGAACTAAGGCAAACATATCCAACAGAGCCTTTCGGTCAGCCTCGAAATCTGTCTTAGAACAGTTCTGATGCCAGACCTCAAAATGGGTACCACGAAGATAATTAGGCGTCATCTTCGCGCGCGCCACAATTTTTCTACCCTTGGCCACATTTTTTCTTCGGCGGCCACTTTTTTACTTTCCGAGCCACAAACTGCGTTTTCCTTGTGCTTGCTTGTGGCCGCCCTAGCGGAGCCGGGGGGTGAGTTCCGGGATCATTTCGGGCTAGGGCATGTCCTGAGGGTGTCCCTCGGACGAACAGGCCCCTACTTCCCCGACGTCCCAAATTTTTGTCCCCCTTTTCCCAAATTTCCTCCCCCTCCCAAACTGACCAACCTCTCGCTCCCAAAAACCCTCGCTCCCACCTGAACACGATGTGGTGCCTTCTATCTGCTTGGCTATATCTGTTGCCCGATAGTATCCACATTTATAATGATGGTATGGTAAGTTGAAGCCAACTTGAGCAAAATCAGGTCCATGTCTATCTGAAATTGAGCGACCCAAGAGCGTTACAGTAAGCGCTACTGGTCTAAGTTAAGCGAAGAGCGAGATAAGGAAGCAATTCTGGGTTGGCCATGTCCTGAGGGACTCAGTTTAGCTTCGCGTTCGTTCCAGTTGTTGTTGTGTCGAGAATTCACCTATGACCGCCACCTTTCTGCTCTGCGCAGGGTGGGCCTGCACGTCTATGACTGGTCTAAGTTAAGTGAAGAGCGAGATAAGGAAGCAATTCGGGGTTGGCCATGTCCTGAGGGACTTAGATCAGCTTCGCGTTCGTTCCAGTTGTTGTTGTGTCGAGAATTCACCTATGACCGCCACCTTTCTGCTCTGCGCAGGGTGGGTCTGCACGTCTAGGGGTGTCAGATCGGATTGTGTACGTCTATGACTGGTCTAAGTTGCTATCGCGTGAAGATTAGCTATCTGAAGATATCTTAGCTCCTGCTTTCTATCTGAAGATTAGTCCAACCAGAGCCTCTAGCATCAGCTTTATAACGCCTTAACCAATCCTCAAAATCAGCAATTCCATCATACCGTTCAGGCATAGGTGATTGCAGGAATGCCTAAAACGGGAACATCTACTTTCATTCCACAAGCGATACAGCATTTCATTCCACGTTTTAAGGAACACAATAAAAAAGGAAAAAAACCATAGGACACGATGAACACCCGAAACCCGACCCGAAACCCGAAGACTACCCAGGTGAACGGATTAGAGCGTGTAATCAG